GTGACCAAGCCCCATGTGCCCCGGCGAGGGCAGGCACCGCTGTCCACGGGGCAGACCCACTCGGGCACCAAGCAAACGTCTCGGCTTCCTTCCTTGGGCTGTGTGTAGTACTCTGCTGAGAAAGCCCAGTTAGTCGAAGGCCGCCGTGCAGTGTGGGGAGAGCCAGCGACGGGAGCACACAGGGGCATTCAATCCCGCTCGGGCACGGAGTTGGTGCGCCACCCTCCCCCTGGTCCCTTCCACACCCACAGTGATGCCGCGACACTTGCAGAGGGCCCGCGGCCCAGGAGATTTGATTGCTGCTGGGAAGCAGAGAGAAGGTCTTCCTCTGGCGTCTGGTGCCCCGGCTAGTTTCCATGGGAGACCTGCCAGGCAGCCCACTTGGAGCAGCAGTTGGCATCGGGAGCCCCCGCAGGACAGAAAGCCAGCCCTCACACACACACACGGACACCTCCAGTCCACGCTGGACGGAGCAGCAGAGCAGACACACCCCGGGACCGTGAGCGGTCTGGGAAGGGCGAGTGGGCAGACGGGTCCACGACGGAACGTGCGGCACCTTCCCACCCACACCCCCCAAGGCCTCTCCCGTTGGCCTCCTTGCCTCTCTGCCACCTCCCGCTTGAAGGTCTGCCTCTGCCCCTTCCCTCCCTCCCTCCCATCCGCTGGCTCCGGCCTGCAAGGAGCACAGGGGGGCTCTTTGGGTGGGACTCTGGCAACGGAGGAAGCCCCAGTTCGGCCTTGCGGGTCTGGGACATCGCCCAATGCTGGCAACGTCACTGTCAAGTAAGAGAGGTCTCTGAGCCAGAGAGAGAGAGAGCGCCGGCAGCCCTTCCCGCTTTCCCCTCACCTTGCTTCTCCTCTACGGAGCAATCGGTGGAACGTCCGCAGGCGACTTCTCGCTGGCGCTAAATTAAAACATTGCACAGAAATCTCACCGCCTCTCGGCTGGGAAGCTGCATGGGAACCTGCCGTCCTGTGGCGGACGCCTCCTGCTGCTGTGTGCCCTCCCCACCCCGGACTGATCTGGCTCCTCTGCTCCCGTGCCTTTCAGCACAGTTCCGGGGAGCCTCTGGAACCCACAATGGGAGGAGGCTGCCGGCAGCCATCTCCAGGGGCTCCTCCCTGTGCCCAGGCGATCCACAGGGGAACCGTCTCTCTGGG